ATTATGTACACTATTTACATTATTCGGACTATTGCCCTCATCTTTGTTGCCATATTTACCCGATCCTTCATTATCTGTCTATATTTCTGAGATGAGGTATTATGTACACTATTTACATTATTCGGACTATTGTCCTCATCATTGTCGCCATATTTATTACAACGTTTCGGCCGTTGTACGCTCCGGCGTTCTTCAGGTGGTTGGAATGTCGAACTGAACCCTTTATTTCGCTCAATGGGGTAGACTGTTCTAGTTCCACGTGTCATATTTAATGGATATCAGTTATTAGTTATCTCCTGTTAATTTTCCCTCTGAAAGTTTTCCACTTCCTTAACCGGGTATTGAACTCAGACTCTTTGGGTACTCTCACTGGATCTAACCAACGCCATGGTACGTGGAACTAGAACAGTCTACCCCAGTGAGCGAAATAAAGTATTCAGTTCGACATTCCAACCACATGAAGAAGGCCGGAGCGTACAACGGCCGAAACGTTGTAATAAATATGGCGACAAAGATGAGGAAAATAGTCCGAATAATGTAAATAATGTAAATATTTATACGTATTGTATTTGCTATTTTAGTTGCTTTTTTTCTGAGAGACTCATTTCTATGGAAAGTGTTCAAACGAACTCCATTCCTTAGTCCCCCTTGTTCTATCCTTCACGCCTAAGACCCACTATCCCACGCGCATTTCAGCGAACCACGCTCATTCGCTTCGTATTCCATTTGTGAGAGCGGCGTCCTTTCGTGCAGCCTCTTCCTACGAACCACTGCGTTGTGGAATCGATTCCCAAGTGGATGCTTCCCCGACCAATGCAATCTTAAGCTATTCAAGTCTGGAGTCAAACGTTATCTTCACACATATCTATATAAACTATTCCTCTTACTCTGTAAGTGGCTCATGTCTAGGGTGAATACTGTTATAAAAAATTACGCATTTAAGCTTGAGCACTTGTCGACTTACATCACCAATTGTAATTTCCTGGAAAAATCGTTTAAAATGCAGTAAATGAGAAAATGTATAGGTAGCAATTAAGTAAGGTAAATAATTTTCTTGGTAGGTTTCCAACGAAGAAATGCAATGAAAAGTATAAAAATATATGTGCGGTAAAATTGTTCAGTGAAATTGGTTTTTCAAAGAACAAATATTTTTCTTTTTCGGTCATGAATAATAAAAGAGAAATTATAACTCTACAACGAACTTAAAAATGGAAATTGTTACTATAAAAGCAATTTCTGCATAACAGAAAAGAAGAAGAGGTCTAGTTTTCCATGTATGAGCATTTTTGTTTCTTAAGAACTAATCTCGCTCCAAAAAGTATAGCTACCAAAGGCGAAGGTTTTTCGCAAAACCGTTTGGTCGTATATAACAGACAGGAAAAAAACTCTAAAAAAAAAAACAACAAAAAAACAAAACAAAAAAAAAAAAAAAAATCCCCCAAAACAAATGAAAAACAAAAAACAAAACAACAAAACAAACAAAAATAAATAACAATCAGGACTCCATATAAATAAAAGCGAGAGGGAAAAGGCTAAATCAGCTATTAAAAGTGAGGGAAAGCCAGATATTAAAATTTTAACGTTTTCTGCTTATATGCTTTTTCAACTGATCTCATCCTAAAATGATTTTTTTTTAAATCCATAATCCTACTTAAAACATTTTTTGGTTTCGATTTCATTTTGCATTAGGCTTGTACTAATTTTCTGAATTGATATCTGTAGCCATTTCAGGTATATAAGATTTATATAATTTTTTCTATGCTAATCTTTCGAAAAAAAAAAATGACTAATTTCGCAAATTAATGGCGTTAACGTGACACTGAAGTCAACACCCAGCGGTGACAGTCTGTTTCATGCTTATACGCAATCGTAAGGCCATATGTGTTGTTTTTGCTCGATTATTTATATATATAAGTCAGTGATGCATTGTAGGTAGTCTATTGTGTTGTTCTAATAGATGTTTTGGTGGGCTGTAATTGTTATGTAACAAATTAATCTCGGGTCTATTAGGTGGAAATAATTGTGGATCCGGATGTTGCTGTTTGGATATTCATAATGCAGTTTGGTACATTATTTACATTATTCGGACTATTGTCTTCATCTTTGTCGCTATATTTTAAATGAGGACAATAGTCCAAATAATGTAAATAATGTACATAATTCCACATCTCAGAAATCTAGACAGATGCGGTTTGGTAATTTTTAAAAATTTATATTTGATTATTTTATTGTTGGTTGCTGTTATTACGTTTATTTGTCTTTATGTGTGTGTCGGTGATTTGTAAATGTATTTATATTTACCTATTTTATTTATTTGTTCGTTTCGTTTAATTTATTTTTGTTTATTTTATTTTACATACGTTCTATCCCTGGTGTTGAGCACTTTAACTCATAAATATAGCATACCTTAAAATTATATATATATATATATATATATATATATATATATATATATATATATATATATATATATATACTCCATGCCGACAATGCAACTCGGAGTTTCATGTTAATGCAATCATCAGTTAATAATTTGAGTTTACACCGTCGCTTAACACGGTTTGGTTAACATTTCTGAGTCTCTCTCGATATCTTGTTGTTTGGGTGAATTATTACATTTCTTAAATATGTAATTGCACTATAATCTAATCTTGAATTTGAATGTGGGCTTCAACTTACATTTAAGATTGAAAATAAGAATTAGAAATTCTGGCTCTAATTTGAAACCTACACTTCATACAAAGTGTATATATATATATATATATATATATATATATATATATATATATATATATATATATATATATATATATATATATATATATATATATATATATATATATATAAAAATAAAAACTTAAACACTAATATTCCATGGTTGTAATTCATTACATTGGAATTGGAATTACGATCCAATTCATCAGACCTACAAATTCAAAAGAAATCAGAAAAAAATTACTCCGGGAATAAAAAATAAAATTTAGTGAGAGTGTATGTATGAAAGTGGGGGACGAATGTGTGAGTTAAATGAAAGCTTTGCAGAGGAGTAACAGACGAGAGAATAGGAAGGCCTAAAAGTGAAGGTGGGGATTAAAATTTAACAGAGAGAAGTTTTAAAGAGATGTTAAAAGACGGTTTAAATGAGTGAGATACAGATAAATAAAACTTATTTTCCGATACATAATTCATTACTGAATCGTTGACCTAAATTAAATTAAAACCGACACCGGAAATGGTTGTCTACATTTGTGTTGAGACTATGCACAATAAAAGACGATATATATATATATATATATATATATATATATATATATATATATATATATATATATATATATATTTCCTTTGTAATAAAACTATAGATATGTATGGGGAAGGAATATATATATATATACGCATACTGGCAAAAAACACAGACACAATACACAAAAATGGAAGGAGGTGTAAGGAGATATACTAGGACATAAAACATAAGTAGAAAGATCTCATCCCTTACCCTTTTTCTGACCAATCTTAATTCTTTTTATTTTGCCCCTTAAGCAAAGGAATATTCTTCCGCCAGTTCAAGATGAGCTCGGATTACTACTACACACAAAAGACAGTGCTTAAAGTCTCAGCATAAGAAAAATAATTCCTTTAAATAATACAAGGAAACAACCATTCTTCGCCTGATGAAGGTCACACAACCCGAAATACGTTTAATAAGTATATAGAATATATATAATATATATATATATATATATATATATATATATATATATATATATATGAATCCACATTATACCACAATACGTTTCTGGTCACTTCCCCCTTTAATATATATATATATATATATATATATATATATATATATATATATATATATATATATATATATATGATTGTAGTTTCAACTCGCCTCTCTGATTCCTCTACCAATTACTCCACCGTGTTCCATAAAAATCACATCTCTTAAATATTCTACTATAGTTACTCTGATCGGTCTGATGAGATCAAATAAGCAGCTGATTAAAAAGAATATGTACAGTTGTTAACTGGGGCAACGAAATGCCTGTTAATTTTAACGCCTCCAAAACAAAACTGCTCTCTATTAATCGTCTTACATCATCTTGGTTGATGCAAACCTCTAGGAGAATGAGTCTTTATGATCCCCCGCATTTTTTGCTGACCTGACGTGGAAAGATTAAGTTGAATCCGTTCTTAGGTCTGCTGCTAGGAAATTTGCTTCACTGTGTCGTGCTAGACAATTTTTCTCTGCAAAATCTTTCTTACATATTTATAAGTCTCTCATTCGCCCAAGCTTTGTATATAGCTGTCACATATGGCCTGGTTTGCCAGCCATATTTTTGAAGATCATTGACAAATCATCAATGTAATTTACCCTGACCTTGCATTTCGTTTTAAGTCACATTTCCTCCGCTTTAATATGACTTCCCTATGCCTTTTCATTGAATATGTTCATGGTATATGTTCTGATGGTCCTTTCTGTATGGTGCCTTGACTTTTTTTTTGAATTTAAAAGCTGTAGTAGATTGGCGCCAATTGACATCACTAGATGTAACCGTAAGTTCTATGTTAACAGTTTCTTCTCTCGCACTTCCCGCTTGAAGATCTCTCTTCTGCCTTCTTGTTTCCAGTCAAAAAATTTCAATCGTTGCCATCTGTTTTCATAATTTCTGTGCTTTTATTGTTCTCTCTTCTTAATATTGTGTTTCTTTTTCTTATATTCTTTCACAGTAAGTAAACCTCTGCTTTTTAGCGGCTTTTTTTGTTTTGCTTGGGGTTGAAATGTTTAAAACATTTTTTTATTGATACAATTTCTAGGCACACTACTCAACGCTATTTTAATTTAGTGCCTTATCTCGTTTTTCGATAACTGTTGACAATATCTTTGGTTATGGTAGCAACCAGGTCACATAAGGTACCATCTATACCATCTAATTTATTGAGCTGTGAAATACACTATATTCCCAAATTTCTGTAGCTTCTTTTAAATTGGCTGACGGTCACACCATGGTGAAACGCTAGTTCCCGTACGATCACCAAAGTTAAACAACATTGAGCATGAACAGTCCCTAGATGGGTGACCGCACGGAAATTCCAGGTGCTGTAATCTTGGGTGTAAGGATGGTGTAATAGATAATGGCTCGGAATTGTTAATCGCCGAGCCGAGTTCCGATTCTTGTGGGGTCCATTATATTCACTTACGTGAAAATACCCCTGGGAAAGGTATGGATCCTCCTCTTTACTCCTCCTAGCTATGGGTTAATTAGTACGTTTTGTATCACTAAAACATTATTAGCTACAAGAAATAAATAAATCATACTTATTATAAAACCCAAGTTTTGTGTGTGTGTGTGTGTGTGTGTGTGTGTGTGTGTGTGTGTGTGTGTGTGTATATTGGATCGGATTTCCTACATTTTTCCACCGATTTCAACAAAACTTCACAGGACTACGTAAAATTACCTTGCGGTTGTTCTGACAGCGCCAAAATTTGAAAAAACACAATTGTTTTTGCACAAAATCAATTTGAAAACACGATTAAGAGGCATCGCTGTCGAGAATGAAAGGGGTACAACTCATATCGAGTTATACTTATTATAAAACCCAGGTTGTTTGTGTGTGTGTGTGTGTGTGTGTGTGTTCATTTATATATGGGATCGGATTTCCTACATTTTTCAACCAATTTCAACAAAACTTCACTTTTTTTTGGCAGTGTTTTCTTGCACACTTTTTTTCTTTATTTTTACATTCAGAATGCTTTAAAATTCCATTTACAAGACAATTGTTTATAATGAAATTCTATTCAATCGGTAGACTCATAACGATTGTAAACAATGTTTTTGTTTGAGTTTGGGTTTGACCAATTCATAAAAAAACAAACAAACAACAAAACAAAATCTAATAAAGACATGCGTGTCCGTCAACCTCAAACAATAATCTTTGTCAATTTTATTTTTCAGTCTTTATGATGGTCGATACTTGATCTATCTCTTACTGTTACATCCCCAGGCAACGCCGGGCTCTACTGCTAGTAAATAAATAAAAATTTTAAAATCTAAAAATATATCCGGATTTTAAATAACCTGTAGGTCGATGATAAGCTGTAGAAAACGAATCAATCTTTTAAACAGCGTAAAACTATAAATAGCAAAATACTAATCAGAAAGCCCTTTTCCTCTGCTAATCTTAGATGTCGGCGTAAATGTATTGGCGCCCAAACTAACTCAACTTCAGCAACCTGTTAGTCATTCTGACTGCCACTCCATAAACAAGAACAAAACAATTTTCTCATTCAAAACTATACGACTTTCATTCGTGTCTACAGACACTGATTGTGTACATAAACATCTGTCATCTTTTGTCATTGTTATAAAACGTATTCTTGTTATGTATCCCAGTTGCAAATATTTTTTTTTCTCATTTCAAGTCATGTTGTTCGTTAAGCGTGTAATACCTTCGACGAACAATAAGGTAAACGGTGTTTTATAGTGCAAACAATTCTTCAAAGACAAACATTTCCAGTTCTGTACAGTGGATATTTTTTTTAATTAGAATTTTTTTTTTACTTTCATTCTTCTTTCGAATAACACAAAGATTATTTTTTTTTATAGAACATAGAAAATATCAGGTGTTTATAGAGATACATTGCATTGTTTTCGAAACTGCATGGTAGTGCCTAAAACTTAACCAAGTCTGTAACAAGGCCAGAGAAAAGTGTTATCTAGTGAGGTTCAAAATCACGACATGTTCTTTGTAAGAGCAGCTTGCTAAATACTACTTGGCGGCGAGCTGGTGTAGATATTTACTAAGCTTAAATTAATCTGGCACAGGGTTACAAATAAAGAATTCCCAGCGATAACTGAGCTCACTAGAGAAAAAAATGGCCTTTTAAAATCATTTCTTCCCAACCAAGGCACTAAAGCCACTAAGATATGGAAGTTACTGAGTGTGAAAGAATCTGAGAAAAAGAAAAACATTATTAATGGGTGAGAACAATAAAACATAACGATTGATATTGCATTTAAATTCTTAAAGATTAAAATTAAATGCAATGTAAGAAGCCGGAAAAAATTCTGCAAAAAAAAACAAAACAAAAAAACAGTTCAGTACGAGGAAAGAAACTGTTAGCATAGAACCTACGGTTACATCTAGCTGTAGCTATTTCATCTGTAAAATGATGAGATCTTGCCGCAAATCTAGCAATGCGCTTAAATTCATCAAATCTAGGTACTATAAATTAGAGTTCATTAGAACTATTACCATGAAAATATTCAAAGAAAAGGCAGCAAGAAACCACATTACGGTGCGGGAAAGTGACTGGAGCCGAAATATATTGTCATGAGGGTTTGGCCCATCGGTAGCAGCTCATAATGCACCACTTGCCGACCTGTCCATCAGATACAGTACATGATCATGCGTAGGTGTAAAAGTGGTCTTGTGGCCTGAGGCACAATATCCCCTGGTGGCAACCAATGTCTGGCGTGCTTGGATTGTCATACAAAACCTACTTTTCGTTACTGGTGATCACTCGATCAAATATGGGTACTTTGCAGTGACGAAAAAGCAACGAGAAACAGGCTGTTACTTGTTGTTGCATGTTGGCTTCCGACAGTGTGTGATGTACTCACTTGCTCAACTTGAGCGCCTTCCCTATCATCAGAAAACGGGAAGCCTTCGGCAAGCTTAGCATAGGTTTGGCTGTTTTTCTCCTATATGGCCACGTTCAAGGCCTCATCATCTAGGACTTGTGGCCGGCCACTGAGGTGCTCATCACAAAGGGACATATCTGCCGACCTGAACTTCTGGGACCAATGCTTTGCTAGTGCGTTCATTGACAGCATTATCCCCGAAGGCTTGAAGTATTCGACGACTTAATCCAGCTACAGACAAGTAAAGCTTTTAAATTCATGAAGCAGACTAAACCCCGAAGAAGCTGCTTCGACACCGCCATATTTGCCAGGTGCTGGTTGAGCTATGACTGATGTGTTTGCGCAACGAACCTGGGACAAAACTATTTTCTGTTTTGTTAATAAGTTAATATATAAGCCTATCCACCCATTATTTCAGGGATACCATCTAAATTATTTTTATTTTGTTGGAAAGAAAAAGGATGAATGGAGTGATATTTTTGTGTGTCCAGTTAGTAGTAGAGGTTAGATTTGTCTTTTCGTATTGCATTTACATTTATGGGAACATGTCAGTAACTTATAGCTTTGATTCCTAATAAGAACTACTATGAAAAAGGACCTTCGATCAGTTGTTAATTGGGGCAAGAAATGACTTGTCAATTTTAACAGCCCAGAACAAAACTCCTTTCATTTAATCACGACAGCGAACATTTTTCTGCTTGCCATCAGCATTATTTTTGATAAACCCCAGCAGAGCAACGCTCTACACCTTCTTGGGGTAACGTGTAATAAAGGGATTATATTGAACGAACAGCCAGATCTATTTCTAGAAAAGTTGGTTTACTTTGCCGTACCAGAATTTTGTTTTTGTCCAAATGAATCTTGCACATTTTCAAATCTATCATTCGGGTGTGCCAACTGCTGCAATACCTGGTCTAGTGCTCCAGCTTTATATCTCGTGATTTATGTCAACATTCAAAGAAGAGTCTACAATTTAATCGATCCTGACCTGGCATCTCGAATTCAGTCACATTCTCGTCGACATAACATGGCTTCCTTCCGTCTTTACTACGATTATTTTAGACTGTTCAAATAAACTTTCTCTCTCGTACCCCAACTACATGAATATAAGTGTGCTACTAGATAGGCAACTAGGTCGCACTGTTTTACTGCCGACCTAGCTAGATGCAAGCGCCATTTCTATTCTAACAGATTCCTTGCTTCCCTGCTACGTACAAACCATCAAACATTTCGATGCTGCGTTAATCGCCATCTTTTGTCCTCATGAACAGTTGTCTTTATTGATGTCTCCTCATTCTTTTTCTGTCCCTGTAACCTCCATCATACGTCCTAATGCTTAAGTTAAAATGATTTTCAAAAAACTCGTATATATCTGGTAAGAATCTCAATACCGAAACATTTCGAACCTCATTACGAGTACGCCAAGGAAGAAATGAGAGTCCAAGTTTCTTTAATATCTTCCTTTACGATGTAAAGTGATGGGCAATGTTTAATTAAGCTCGTCCAAAGGGAATCTAAAACAGAAAACAGCTTTCATGATTAACCACCCCTGCCCACCCCGAAGCCAGTTTTCTGGTGTTAAAGTGGGGGGTATACTGATAATATTGGTTCTCATGGTTTGGATAAGAATGATCTAAAAAAAAACATCTACATTTACTATGTTTTACATGAAATAGGATTCAAGCTAAACAAAAACTCGAATTCGAATGAAAGTAAAGATGGCTCCTACCTTGAAGCCATCATAAAAAATTCAGAATGTAGAATTAGTGGATAGCAAAAACTTCAAATATCTCAATCTATGGATCAGTTATAACAAAGTACAGGATATAAAGAAATTGAATATAGAATCGGTTGCGTAAAGGATAGTTTCGTACAACAGAATTCTCAACAAAATTCTTTGATTGAATTCTTTGACTGAGTTTTGGAATCAACTCGTAAAATGCAAAAGTAAATAATAATAATAATAATAATAATAATAATAATAGTAATCAGTGGTTACTTAGTGCAGGGTTAAAGGATGAAACCGAAAGTTTTATTTATCATGTACAAGACAAATTCTTGCTAACTAGAAATTACTAAGCACGCATACTTATTGTGTTGACCTAAAACGCCGATTCTGTGATAAATATCTTGAAACGATTGAGCATCTTGTACCAGGTAACACACTGTTAGCATCCACTGAATATAAATCCCGGCATAATAGAGTGAGCCAATATTTGCACTGGATAATCTACAACATTAACAGAAAGGAAACTGCAAGAAACTGGTTATGAACACCACCCAGGCCCGGTTACAGACATAGGACCTGTAACAATTTCATGGGACTTTAAAATACACATTGATAGAACAATCAAAGCTAATCGCCCAGACATCGTGAACAAAGACCCCCCACCACACAAAAAAAATGTGCTTTTTTATTGACATTCCGGTTCCTGAAGATTGTAATGTACCTTTGAAGATCT